CTTGCACTCCTACTTTGGGCTTGCACTTCCAGGCTCTGGATGGCGGCTATCATCAAATCCCAGCAGTTTATAGATGGCCTAACTCATTATGTTCTACAGCGTCTGTTGTCTGGAGCGTCCCCAGAGATTCTTGCTAGGGCATCTCGATATGCAGTCTTCTCAGGCAGCAGGACTTTTCGTGCTGGATGTACCACACTGGCAGGGGCCGAGTAATAGAGCTCAGAAGGTAGCATTGATTCACGGCCTGGAAAAAAGTAGAAGCCAGTTGGAAATATTGCAGTATTGGGTCATGCCGGCAGTCTGTTTTGAGCTGACAGCGTTGAACTGTTTCCTTCTCCTGGCTGGAATTGCTTTTTATGGCTATTTAATACCTCTCGTGTAGTTTTTTAGAAGTGCCCAGATACATTGTGATAAGATATTATGGATTGGCTCTTGGTTTTAAATAAACGAGAGTGCAGGCTTGCAGAAGTTTACTGAGAAGTGCCAGTGAATTCAGTGCAGCTCGCTTCCCGGAGTCAGAGATGGGATTGTGCTGAAATGGCAGAAGCTGGCTTGTTCATGGCTTTGTAAGATCTGGTGTTGCTGGGTTAGAATGACCTTCATGGTGATTCTTGGCAACAGTCCTTTGTATGCTCTGCTTGGTGGTGGCGTGGCTCGAGCCCTCAAGTAAGTGGCGTTTCAGATCATGTGCTTAAAATCGAGCCATTGAGATTCTGCTTTACAGAGTGATTTCAGCTATCCTGTTGCCTAAGGTTTTGGCCGTGAGATTTTTCTTCTCATTTGAGCTTTAATTGATTGGTGGGTAGGATTAATCAAATTAAGTCTTAATCACAGGTTGAGATTTGCTTTGCTTGGAAGGATTGACTGCATGGGTCTGGGCTTTGTTCTCCCGGCACCAAAGAATTCTTTAATGAAGAGAAACAGCTTTTGTCTCCTATGTGAAATGGCTATCGTTTTCCTTGTAGCAGTTGTAACAGCACACACATGCTGCTGCTTTAATGTTTAAAGTGTATCTGTTTTAAAGTTTTAGATCTCCTTTAGGTGTAAAACCCTTGACATTTAAAATTCATCTCTAAACTTGATATGTGGATGTGTCACTATAAATCATGGTGAACAGTTAATTTAGCAGAAGTTGATCCACTGAACTTGCTACAGTGTCTGTCTAATGTGGGATCAGCTATCAGGATACAGGTCGAAGAATTCTATCCCCGGCATCTCCTGGTAGGTCTAGAAATCCTGTCTGCAACACTGGAGAGCTGTGGCTGCCGGTCAGTGTTGGCAATACTGGACTACACGGACGAAGGTGGTCTGATTTAAGGCAGCGCCTTTATTGGAGCACGAGAACCAGTATCGCATTTTGTCTTTAGGCAGAATGGCCATAGCTGGGTGACAGAGCCCGTACTTCGCCTGTGGCAGGTTCCCGGTTTGATCCCCAGCTCCAGGTAGCAGTAGGAAACAATCCTTCCTGAAACCTCAGGAAGTCACTGTGCCTGTCAATGTCAACCATCTTGGGCGAAACGGACCAAGGCCCGCATCCTACATGCAGCAGATTCCCATGTTCCTGTGAAAGAAGTTTAATATATATTTGCCCTGCCTGACTCCACACAGAATGAACAGGCTCGGGAGAACCAATAGGTTCGGGTACAGAAATACGGTCTCAATTTAACTCTTGTATTATGAAGCTGCCTTTTGGAAGACAGTCCCTATGCGCAATAACATGCGTGAATGTAATCTATTTACAATATTATTGAATTAGTTTTCAATTATATCAGGTAGTCCTGTTAAAAATTGATAATAATTTAATAGTGGCAGCTTGAACTGTCCTTGCTAGATATTAGAAATCTGCTGTTAAATAAAAGCCGTTTTAAGTCTTTATGCATTTTCCATAAGGACACATTAATGGATATAGAACATAGACTGCTCCAGCCTTTTGTATAAGACAGCTGTAACTTTACACACACACACACACACACACACACACACACGGCCAACTTTTTTTCCTACTTCTGCAGTTTCAACTGTTAGTCTTTGGGTTTCCAGAGAGGGCTAGCCATAGAAACATAGAAACAGAGCGAGTCAGAAGGGGTCTCCCGGGCCATCTAGTCTGACCTCCAGCACCAGCCGGCTCCGCTCACGACATGCCCACCATGTGGACGTCCAGCCTGTCCTTGAACACCCTCCTCTGTCTCCGTCTGCCTGGATTTGATCTCTTGCAGCAGCCACAGTGTGGACTCCTTAGCTTGCAATCAGCTTCCTGAATCTTGGAATGCAGAGCCCATGACTTGAACTGCGGTTTGGTTCCTTTCCTTTCCCCTCCCCAACCTTCCCTTTTTTGTTGGCCCAACAAAGTTATTACAAATTGGAAATGTCCTTTTGGCGAACATGTTTACATTTTCTTTTTGAGTCATCTCAAGACTTGCGACACTTCCACACCGTGCATCTTACTGTCTCCTCACCCAACAACTTTCCCCTTTTATTTCTCCTCATTTTTAACAGTGAGTCTGAAGGAGAGCATTGTGAAATTGAAAAGCTCGTTCTCTTATGGTCTTTTACCCTTAATAAAAGATTTTGTATTGGATCCACATTGACACTGGATCAATTGTGCTGTCATGACTGGATTTTTCTGCCCCACAGCACCTAGTAAGAGTGCTACACAGAGAGACACCCCTCCCCTGAATAGTGTGAGCTACAGTGTGTGTGTGTGGGGGGGGGGATCCTTCAAAATCAGGCAGAGAGACCTTTTATGACCAAGTCTTTCCGCTTGTGGAAGCCAGATCCTGTATCCAGCCCTCCAAGTTCCTGCTTGCTTTTTTTCCTCGTGAGCAAACACAGCTGTCTGCCTTTAGAAGCTGGAGTTCATGCAGAATGCAGCAACCTGGCTGTTGTTAAGAGCGGCCCCTTTTCAGCATGTACCTCCTTTGTTGAGGGATCCGCACTGGTTGCGTGCTTGTTACGGAGCCAGGTTTGACACTTTGGTACTGGTGTACAAGGGACGTGGGGGGCACAGCTGGTTAAACTGTTGAGCCACTGGGCTGCTGATTGGAAGTTGGCAGTTTGAATCCGCACGACAGGGTGAACGCCTGCAGATTTTTCCCAGCTCTTGCACACTGAGCAGTTTGAAAGCATGCAAACCGAGTGGATAAATAGGTACCACTCTGGTGGGAGAGGTAACAGCATTCCATGCACCTTGGCGTTTAGTCACACTGGCCACATGACCACAGAAGCATCTTTGGACATTGCTGTCTCTTCAGCTTACAAATGGAGCTGAGCACCAGCCCCAGAGTCAGGCATAAATAGCACGTAAGTGCCGGGGATCCCTCACTACTAGTTTACAATGCCCTGAACCACCAGGATCCCTGAGAGACCACCTTCTGCCTTACCAAACTGCCCTATTGCCGAGGACATTGGAGGGGATGCTCCTGATGGTTCCACATGGACCATGACCCTCCTGGAGTATGCCTGGAAAAGGACCCTCCATGTGGCGCACCTTTCTCCCCTGCCGTCAGAGGAGTCTGCCACCCCACAGGGAAGGTGTGCCCCTGCAGGTCCAGCTTTCTATCCAGCGGGTTGTCATACTTGATCCTGGCAGCAGCTGGGACATCTTACCTAGCTTGTCAAAGAATGTGTTATATATGGAAAGAATGTCATAAAAGGAATTAAAATTGCGGGGCTTGTTGACATGATTCCCAGTAAGAGAGAACATCATTGTATCATACTCCAGCAGGAATCTAAATAAGAATATTTTCCCTGTAAATCAAAACTCCCATCTTGGCTGTGGAACTTGACAGATGGGTCTCTACAAACTGAAGTGTGCAGGCAGGTTGAAGGTGCCAATTCCTCTGTAATTCTTCCTTGCAAACAGTGTAGTAACAGTAACACGTGGGGACTTTTAGAAGGGCTGACTTGCCTCCATTATCCAAAAAGCTGAATACAGAGGGATTTCACTGAAAGCTTGTTTGATGTTTTTAATTGCTGGATCAGCTTCCTCTTTTAGCCAGCAAGTTTGCTTGCTTGCTTGCTTGCTTGCTTGCTTGTTCACTTACCTTCTGAACTGAGTGTCTCACAGGACTCTCTAGGTGGGTTAGAAGCGTGGTAGTAGATCAGAGAACAGATTCTCCCTTGCGCCATGAGCCCTAAGGAGCTTTTAAGTTTGCACGAAAGGCGTGTTTTTAACAGCTCCTTTAAATCTTTGAAAATGTTTGTGGCATTCTCTCAGCAATATCTCCCTCAGTTAACTGTGCCAACCAAGAGGTCCAGTTATGTGATTCTTCTGTACTTTTCTTGACTTGCAGAACTTGGTGGTCACAGATGAAGAGCTACAGTTCAAAAGCCCTTTGGTGCTTGCCCCTTTGGAGGTCTTTAGCTTTGTTATCCAGAGCAAATGGGAAATGTGCAGTCTCAAATAAAGCAGGACATTCAGCTCTCTGGCCCACCCTCATCTTCTGTTTCCTAGAGGTTCCGAGAGAAATTAGCTAAAATCTGCTGAATAGACAATTGGTTGGGAAGCTCTGTGTCACCAATAGCTTTTGCCCTGGCAAACTAGATGGTTCCCCTTCAGGGATCTTTGCAAGCCCTACCCAATCTGATGAACACATGTAAGTCTGAGTGTCAATTCACCTGTCTGTGCTTGGAAGAAAACACACTGGAAGCTGCTCTCCAGCATAAAACTGAAGCCACGAATGCGTACAGATAGCAAGAGCATACGTGCATTTACTTTACATGACATTGTGACACGATGTTGTTGTCTACAAAGTTCACGCCCGTGAAGTACGCAATCAAGTTTTGAATCAAGAAAATTCAAAAAACCTCTTACTTAATGTTTTAAGTAAGTAGATGATTTTCGGATGGGCCACATTCATAGCCATCCTGGGCCGCCTGTGGGCCGTGGGTTGGACCCCCTGGTGTGGAGCAACCTTGGAGTGGCTCATGTTTTTCCTGGCCTCCACAGCATCTGCCCAAGTCATAGCACTTTGTAAAGACAGTTGGTTCTTCTCTTCTAGGATGATGTGCGGCAGAAGGTCCATCTCAACACGTTTGGTTTCTTCAAGGAGGGATTCCTTTGGGTCAATGTCAGTAACCTCTCAGTTAAGCATCCAGGGATTGCTGAAAAAAACATTCTGGTAGGCGCCTTCCTTATTTCACAAGTTACCGCGAGTAAATAAGTCCACTCGCTTCTGCAGGAGGACAGGGAGGGGCTGTGTGCTGAGAAGGCCCAACACTGCTTGGCCCCAGAGGTGGAGCATTCTTTCAGCCGTGGTGGCTGTTCTAATTGCTCCGGAAACCGCTGGCCAGAAGTGGTGAGGGCTGCATGCTGGCCGTGCCTTCCAGCACTGCTAGCTAGGCCTCAAGTTCCTGCCTGTCCAACAGTTCCTCCTCTGATGAGCTCCAGAATCAGCACCTGAGACCTAAGGGACAATCCTGTGCAAGTTTAGACAGGGAAAAAACGGCTCGCAACTCCCAGCTTGTCCCATGATTAAAACACGCCCCTTTCGCCTTTGGTCCCACCTCTCCTGGAATGCGTGCCCTGGACCGCTTCCCCACAGCGGAAAGTGTCCTTGGGCGGAAGGTGTTCCCCTCCACTGGGTTAACACGCTGCAGGCAGGAGCCGCCGAGCCGCCCGCAGAGCCGTGTGGGGAGCCTGCGGTGTCATCCGTACCAAGCACGTTCCTCTGGCGCTCAGACTGGCCCCAGTCTTATTAAAGGCATTATTAGTAGTCTTTTTAAATATAGAATATTTAATTACATCTTATTGACTAAGTTATTAAACATTATTTAATGTTCTAATGTTTAGTTGAATATTTAATATAGGATCAACTTTACATTTTAATGACCTACTATGTGAAAAATGTTTTTTAGGTGGGATTCAGTTTAGACCGAACACAGAATGATGGATTCTCCACTTACTTGGTAAGGCCATAGGTGGTGGGTTGATCTTGTCACTTAACCAGAGCCACTTGGAATATCTGGAGCATAATCCTTGCTTGCAATTTTGTCAGCCAGCCCTAATAGAGAATGCTTTCTTGTGCACAAATTCACCCTGCATGTATCTTAATTTCTCAGTGTGTATTAACACTTTTTAGACTGATATGTACTTCTCTAAAATGTGATACACCTGCTTATTCCAAACCCCAAAAGCAGTTGAAATGTTCTGCTGATGGAGAGCAGTGTAGAAGCTGACTGAGGTCTGCTGGTAGATTTCTGGGTGTTTTGAAACAGATCTGCAAAGATTTGACTCTTGGTTTTTTAACCGTGGCATCAACCAAATCGACTCCGTCATGTCCACCCAGGAATGTAACCAGGAATGCACTTTTGTGTAGAAGGAAGCTGCCCAAGTTCTGACATTCCAGTTCCCGGGAGCAAGAATTCTTTTACCCGTGGCACTGGGTTGATGGATATTGGCGTTCTAGTGAAAGCAAAACCCAAAGTAGATCCTGTAAGCCCGAACTCTGACTACCCTGTCATGGGGGACAGAAGCTTGCGGATGCAAAACATCTCTTCCATTTCTTCCCCGTCTCTTTCCAGGATGAAGAAGTGGATTATTGCATTTTGAACAGAACGCCGGATCATGATGTCTCAGTCCATCTGCTGTTAAACTTCACGAAGAAGATGTAAGAGATCCATATCGCACGTCCTTCAGATTCTTTTCCCTTCCCTGCTGCTGCCCCCACACAGCGCCAAAAGCGCTATGGATGAGGAAAGGGAACCTCAGGTTCGCCACCCCGAGCCCTTTGGTTCTCTTTCTGTACTGTCAAAACGCGCCCTTCTCCCGTGTCTTCACAGCGTGACAGTCAAGCCGAACGTCACCCCTCATCAGCTGCCAGAAATAGTCTTCACTGACTCTGAGAAGAATGTGCATTCCGGAGGCACCCAGGTCGCCAGTAAACCTGCTCTGGACAAAAGAGCCCTCGGTTGGTTGCTTGATGGCTTGCGTTAATTGCCTGCTAAGGAAGCCTGTCTTTTATGGGAATGACGTGAAGGGGGCGTGTGTATTTCTGGAGGGGGCGAGTAGGGGATGCTGCTGGCTGGGGCGAATTGGAGGTTGAAGCCCTTTTTCTGTGTGAAGTACTGTGCCTGAAAACCCTGCTCCGAATTGAGAGGCCACACGAGCAGAGGTGAGGCTCGGACCGGTCGCTGAACGCTCCTTGCGGTGTCGCGGGGAGCTTGCCTTTGAAGGCATTTTGGTGAGGGAGGGTTCCTCTCCTTGGCTGTCCACTCTTGGAAACCTCCATGTTGCTTTCTCGAAGGATTTCCTGCCTGCTCAGGCAGCCCAGGTCTTGGTTAGCCTGGGATAACCACTTCTGGTCTGCCAGTACAGTGGTGCCTTGGCTCACGAACTTAATCTGTTCCAGGACTCTGGTCGTGACCCAAATTAGTTGTGAGCCAAGTCAAATTTCCCCATAAGGTTCAGTGTAAATAAGGTTAATCTGTTCTGTAACCATTTTTTTTAAATCAGAAAAATGTAAAGCAAAGTGACAAAGAACAACAAAGATGGCAGCCATCTCCCCCCACCCTCGAGCACAAGCCTGGCCATCTCTCTGCCCTGCCCCCCCCCCAGCACAACCGCAATCGCGCCTGTCATCCTGGGGGCGGGGGCGGATATGCACAATCGCGGGTGCGCTGGGGGAGGGAGAGATGGGCACGATCTCGGCCATCTCCCCTTCTCCCAAGTGGGGAGATGGCCGCGATCGTGCTGGGTGAGGGGGGGATGGCCGAGATTGCGCCCGTCTTTTCTGCAGGAGTGCGTCCGTGATCACACACGTCTTCCCTGCACTAACGCAACTGCGATTGTGGCCATCGTCCCACTCGGGGAGGGAGGGGATGGAGAAACGGTCGCGATCTTGGTCACCACCCAATGCGGAGTTCGTGACCCAGGTCAAAATTTTCATGCAATTTTTGTTCGCGACCCGATTTGGTCATGAACCAAGGCATTCGTGAGCCGAGGTACCACTGTATTGTCCTCTAGGGCAACTGGAACAGGGTTGAAAAGTTCTCCCTTAACATAACCCCCCCCCCTTGGATGGGTCTTGGTATTCTTCTCCAGTCTGGATATCGACTCCCATCAGCCTTAGCTGGGCTGACCAGTAGTCAGGGATGCTGGGAGTTGTTGCCAAAAATACCGGGAGGGTACTGAGTTGAAGGCCGAGCTATGAGATGAGGCGGGACTCCTGAGATGGTGTCTTTTGGTCGAAGTGCTTAAGAATCATGGGACCAGGGAAGTGGGGAAGTGTGTCGGGGTGCAGAGGGAGAAGACGCCGGTGGTACCTGAGCCAAAAGCAAGCCGGGTTGCCATCCTGTGAGCAGAGGAGCGCCCTGCCTGGGAGTCACTCCTGGTATTTACTCTGGGTAGCACTTGCCATTCCACCCAAAGGGTTGCGCTGAACCATCCAAGCGTCTTGTGCATGGAAGATGGATGGGGCTGTCCTGAACTTTGCCTCTGACTTCACTTTTGTGCGTTCCGTACACCTAGGTTCCAAGCAGTCACCTGGACAGAACGAGACCGAAACCCAGGTAAGGGAAGTCTCTTTTTCCAAAGCTCTTGGAGGGGAGAGAGGGGAAAGGGAGCCACCCACCTGTGAGCAGGGATGCATTTTTCAGCCAATATGGGGTCCCCCGTGCCCCAGTACAGACATGCCAGCAATGTCCAGGTCTTCATTTTGGTTTCACTGCAATTATACCTCAACTTTCTTCTTGCAAAGACCCCAGTAGTAAGGGTCTATTATAGGAAAGAGAGAAAGGAATGGCATCATAAATATGATAAAAACAAGCCGGGGCCTCTTGTTTGAAGATAAGGGTGCCTTTCCTGCCTGTCTTTTCTGCTGCGCTCAGTGGATGGTTTATTTACTTGAATTTGCTGGCAACAGATGGAAATAGCTTTGTCTTACTATCATGGCTCAGGTGCCCGTGGATCGAAAGTACCCCATCCAGAGCAAAGGTGACAGCTTTCACTTCCAGGTAGGTGATCTTCTAATAGTGCCCACTCTGAGGCTGCAGGGGGATAGCAAAGAACAGCCGACTTCTGTGCGCACACGGCCGGGCACGGCGCTCTCTTCCGGAGTCCTTCTCCACGCCTTCCTTCCATCCGGGGCCCTTTGGCTAGGCCAGGAGCGGACCTGGTGGAGGCAGCGCTCCATTTGTCCAGTGGCTCTGTTCCAGTTGAGCATCTCATTTATATAACGCCCCCCCACAAGGCTCTGAGAGGCTCCCTGAGACAAAAACCTTAAAATGCGTTAGAAAAGCTATTTCACTGAAATGTGTAAACAAGCCACACACAGAGGAGGACACAAGTAGATGCTCAGCATTTTTAAACCATGGTAAGACAAATCCAGGGTCCGATTAGAACATCGCCAAAGGCTGCCAAAGATAACCGTGCTGGTGTCAGTCAGACTTCACTGCGGGGAGAAATCTGCGGGGGGGGGGGGGCACCACCAGGAAGACCCTCTTCCTAGTTGCTGCTTTCCAAGCCTCTGTCGGAGGAGGTTGTTAGATGACAGACAACCGTGGTATCCGGAGGCTCACACTGGGGAAGGCGCTTCCTGGGGTATCGTAGCCCTGAGGCATGCAAGGCTTTATAGCTCTTTCTGTTGCAATTTTGGTGGCATTGGGGAGCAGGAAAGGTTTTACTCTGTTTTGCAGTCCTTCAGTTTTCGGTGTCCTGGGAAGTGTGGCAGGGCAAGCACTTTGAAACAGGCAAGCAGCCTAATTCAGATGCAGAAAGGAGGGCAGGAGGACGGGGAGGGGAGTAGGAGCGGGCTGAAGAAACGTGAGGGCCTTCCAGGTACTTTACAATCCTTGATGGAAAACCGTATTTGACCTTTTCCCTCCCCACCTGGTTTTCCTTGTATAGTGGTACCTTGGTTCACAAACTTAATCCGTTCCACGGCTCTGGTCACAACCCAAATTGGTCGTGACCCAAGTCAGATTTCTCCATAAGGCTCAATGTAAATAAGGTTAATCTGTTCTGTAACCATTTTTTAATCACAAAAATTTGAAACAAAGTGACAAAGAACAGCAGAGATTGCGGCCATCCCCCCCCCCCCGAGCACAACCGTGATGGCACCCGTCTTCCCTGCATGAGCGCGACTGCAGCCATCCCCCCACTCACAAGCACGACCGCGATGCGCCCACGCTCCTGCAGGGAAGACGGGTGCGATCACGACCATCTCCCGATGTGGAGTTCGCAACGTGAGGCAAAATTTTTCTGAAATTTCTGTTTACGACCCGATTTGGTCATGAACTGAGGCATTCGTGAGCCGAGGCTCCACTGTATGTGGCTTTTTATTGTTAGCCAGTGAGGAGGGAGCTCTTCTGGAGGCTGCAATGCCTTGCACGTTGACCCGATGAAATACGAGTAGGCGACGTGCTTCCGCTGCCCATTCCACTGTCTCTCCATTAAACGGCACGGATGCGCCTTCCAGCACTGCTGGGGCACACCTGATGTGGCGGAAGGCATGTCCGCAGACTCGAAAGCACGGAACCTTCCGGGCCTGGGGGCTGGTGGCCGGGGAGCTACTTACGTCGGAGCAGCTCCGAGGGCGCGCGAGGGCCCTCACCGCCTCCCTTCTGTGCTTCAGTTTCACTTCAGCATCAACTCGGAGAACCAGGAAGGACTTTATAGTCTCTATTTTCACAAGTGTGTCAGCAGCGGCTTGCAGAATGAGAAGGCGCTCTTCACCCTTGAAGTAAGTGGGGCACTTTTCACCCCCTTCCACGTAACTTGTTTGAGGAGGCCTGGAGGGCTGGCTGGACTGCATGCCTTTGGCCGGCACGTTCTTGGTGTTGAGGGTTGGAAGGCGACACCGGGAAGAGAAAGCCACATGGGTCTGGCTGGATTTAAAGACAGGTAACACATTTGCACCGTTGATCCAGAAGCCTGAATTCTGGGAGGCTTTTCCTGAAGGGCAGGGCTCCCCCCCGGAGGGCCGAATCGAGACCTTATCCTGATGGTTCCTTGTTTCAGTTTAACGCTTCCTTCACTTTCAGATTGGGATTACAGAGAAGAACCCCAGCAGCTACCTCTCAGCGGGAGAAATCCCTCTGCCCAAGCTCTACGTTTCCATGGCGCTCTTCTTTTTTATCTCTGGCGTTGTCTGGGTCCACACGCTTCGGAAACGCAGGTAGACAGGCGGCTTTGCAAAGCGGGGATGGTCCAGCTCAGAAACAGCTTGCAGTATTTGTGTCCTGCCTTCTGATTTTATGGGTGTGCCCATAAAATGCTGCGCAACCACAGGCGATCTTCTGGCATTCGCACCGCTGATTGTCCCGTCTTTGTTACAGGGCTGATGTGTTCAAAATCCACTGGCTCATGGCTTCTCTCCCATTCACCAAGTCCCTGTCTTTGGTCTTCCATGCAGTGAGTAACTTCTCAGTTCATCTTCCCCCTTCCCCGTTTCACGGCGGAGTCGGGCAGCAGGACTGCAACCATCCCATCCTCGAGTCTGCCGGGAGCGAGACCTGCCCTGGGTGTCCTGCTCCCTCGTTTTGGTCCACTGAGTGAGCGCTCCTGCCCAGTTGGCGCCAGGGCCTTGCGGTGAAACCGAACAGCCGGAAATTCCCGGGGGATGAAGAGACTTCACACAGTGCATGAATTCTGGGATTCGTGGTGGCCCTCCGTGGAGGAGAAAGGCTGTCCGTGGCCACTCGTCTGCCCCCCGTAGCAGAGCCGCCATGTCTGTGTGCACCGGGTGCTGGGGCACATGGGCAGGAGGATCCTGCCGCAGCCATGTCCTACCTGTGGGCTTCCCCTTGAGCAGTTGGTTGGCTGCTGTTTGAGCAGAATAATGCAGCCTTCCGCCCTGTCCAGCACAGCTGCTGCTCCATTCCTTCCATTGTTATTCGCCCAGGCATGGCTTAGTCTTGCCCCATCGGCTGCTCTGTTGTCCAGATGGTTCTGAGGTGCGCTGCGTGCCCATTCTAGCGTGTGTGCGCAGTCCCCCCCCCCCATGCACCCTGGGTCAGGTCTCTGTCAGGATGAAGGGCAGACTAAACACATCCTTAGTAAACGGCGAAGTCTTACTGAGCGGGGGGAGAGCGGGACGGATGTGCCGAGCGCCTGGCACAGACCGCGTTCTGCTGTCTCCTGCAGATCGACTACCACTACATCTCCACCCAGGGCTACCCGATCGAAGGCTGGGCAGTCGTCTACTACATCACTCACCTGTAAGTGGGCCGGGCCGGGCCGGGCCGGGGGAGGCTGTCCTGGGGTTTGTGGGGATTGCCCCCTTCGCTGCACTGGTCCCCACGACCTGCTGGGCTGCCCGTGGGCGCTCGGTTCTCTTCCCAGGCTCAAGGGCGCCCTGCTCTTCATCACCATCGCGCTCATCGGCACGGGCTGGGCGTTCATCAAGCACATCCTCTCGGACAAGGACAAGAAGATCTTCATGATTGTGATCCCGCTGCAGGTGAGACGGGGGGCGTCTTGCCGTTTGGAGGGAGGTCCAGGCTCCCCCTGGGCTAGGGATCGGCGCCACTGCCCGCGGAAGCCCCCCCACCCGCTCGGGGGCCCTGGGCCTTGGTGGGCGTTGTCCACTGGGCTCTGCCCCGCACGTCCTTGGGGGAAGCTGCTTGCCCCCTGGAGCTGCGTTGTGTCCCGCCTGCCTGGGCGCAGCTGGTCCCGGGTCCGAACCCGGCAGCACGGCTTTGCAGAGGGGCAGCCGGCCTTCCAGTGGCCCAGTGGTGGGCCATCCGGGGGTTGCTCGCCCTTCCAACAGCCGTTTTGCCCGCCTGGGTGGGACAGTGGGCTTTGCACAGGGTGGGCGATTGGCACAGAATGGCTGGCCTGTGCTGTGGCGCCCACAAACCAGCGTGACTTGTTTAACTCGCGGTGATTGTGCCGGCTGGCCTGCTGGCCATCAGGAAAAGGCTGGAGGGAAGCAGAAGCACAGAGAGACCTGTGTGGGTCATGTGTTCCTGAGGCGGGGGGCATAGTGGTGCGTCGGAAGCAGGGCAAGGGCATCCTCTGAATGAGGCGCTGCTGCTCTGCTCGGCCAAGACGGCGGTCAGTGCCTCGTCCTTATCGTGACTTATCCAGGGCTCGGGGCATCCTTCCATCCACCAACGTCTGGGCATATCTGCCACCATGAGGGCCGGAAGCTTGCTTGCTAGTTTAAAACGAGCGCCGAGAGTCTCGGCCATCTGCAGTCCTGCAAAACCTTGTCGGCATGGCTCTGTATGCCCCCAGCCTGCTGCTGTGGGTCGTGGGGTGACAAGTGCTTCTCTCCTGCCCCCAGGTCTTGGACAACGTGGCTTACATCATCATCGAGTCGACAGAGGAAGGCACGACCGAGTCTGGGCTGTGGAAGGAAATCCTGTTTCTGGTGGACCTGCTTTGCTGTGGGGCCATCCTGTTCCCAGTTGTCTGGTGAGTGGCAGAGGGCGCGTTCCTCCGGAGCAGCTCTGCAGACAGCCGCACCTGCGGCCTGGCCTGTGGCAGCCCCCTCACAGCCTGGGCTGGGGCCAGCCGCCCTGTGGGGAGCTCCCGGGCTCCCCACGGTTCCCTCTGGATTGTCTTCCTGTACGTTTATATCTGGCCTCTCCCGAAGCGGCCCAAGGCAGCATACGTGCTTCCCTGTGTCTTTGGAGCGGTCGCAGAGGTCAAACCCAGGCATCAGGATCAGTTCACGTTCCCCACAGAAATTCCTGCAGTGGAAAGGAGCCTCTGGAGGCACCCCTTGCCTGGCCCCTTGTTGCCTTACCTGCACGGAGGGAGTTCTCCTCTCCCTGATGCTGCAAAGCGACTTTTCTGCAGAAGTGTTTGTCTCAGTGGAGGCTTTCAACGTCCCCGTTGTGGTGTGTGCAGGGCAGAGGCATTTCTTGACGGGAGCACTCCCCCAAAATGCTTCCGTTGCAGAGTCCAGCTCACTATGTGTTTGGGTGGGGGCATTTCCTCCCTGCTTCCATACGAGCCCTGCAGTGGTTGCCCACCTGCGGTTTGCAGAACGGCTGTGGGAGTGTCCGTCAGTGTTTCTGGGAGGATCGACGTGTCCCCGGCGTGTCTGGCGAAGTCTTCGCTTTGGGTTCTGGCGCTGCGGTTTGCGACCCGCCGTGCCTCCCACCTGCAGCTGTGCAAAGGAGCAGCAAGCCCTTCTGGCCAGCAGGGGGCTCCCCTCTCGCACAGAGCCTGGAAAGCCGGCGGCCCGGAGCGGCGAGAGCTGGGTTTCTGCTCGCAAATCGTGCAGACTTCTCCCCTCGGCAGCCTCGGACAGTCAGCAGTAACACCTGTCTTCCAAAAACATCAGCACACGTGCACTTCAAAGCAAATCTCATTTCGTTCTTTCCTCTCTTGGGAAGGAGTGTGCATTTTGGGTGCCCCTTAAAAAGCACACTTCCCCCATTCAAACTGGGTGCTTTTCCTGTTCAAATGAAAAAGGAAAAAATGCAGGTGAAGCCTGGAATCAAGGACAGGTGAGGGTGCGGTCGGAGGATCTCGCGCATCCTGGAGCTGGCGCGTTCACCCGTCCCTGCGGTGGCCCTCGTGTGCTTTGCTGGCCGTGTGTCTTGGAGCTGGAGAGGCGAAATGGGAACCCTTGATCCCGCTCTCACACAACTTTCTCCTCTAGGTCAATAAGGCACTTACAGGAGGCCTCTACGACGGACGGGAAAGGTAAGGCGTTAATGCTGCGTATTGGGGCTCAAAGGGAGCTCCGGCTGCAGGGCGCTCTGGGAGGCCGCATTGGACCCGCCGCCCCAAAACTGGCCCGTGGGCTGGGAAGGATGGTGCGCTTGGAGCTCCGGGCAGAACTGCTGGAAATGGGCAGCAGGGCCATAAAAGGAGGTGTGTTGAGGGGCAAAGGTCCCGGTGGAAATGGGGAAACCCCGTGGCCGTGTGCTGCCCACCCCTGCATTTAGGGATGGGCTTGGGGAACAGCTGCAGTTCTCTGGACCCTGCGACCATCTTTTCACGCTGTGGATCTGGCGAGCTTTGCTGCTGGAGGACATTCGTGGCGAGGCACCCTGCCCCCTTTTTTTAAAGCAGTGGGGCACTTCCCAGCCTTGATGGGGAGGCTGAACATGTGCCGGGTTCCCCTTGTGCCCTGGAGAGGGCGACAGAGAGGTGTGCGGAGAGCCATCCGGGAAGCTTATTGCAAAGGCATCACTCGTAGCTGGTGATTCGTGGCTTGTTCCGTTGGATGTGGTCTCCAACGAGGTGCCCGTGGATAGCTCTCTGGGTACCCTTCAGGCAGCCTGGCCCGCTGGATTTTTATTTTGTTGAGGTTGTTTGAAGTTGAAAAAATAGATATTGGGACTGGTTTTCTGTCAGGCGAAGTAGTGCGTTCCAAGTATGGTCTGTATTTGGTTCAGAAGAACAAGGTTTTGCTTTGGAGCTCAGATTCTCTGCCTTGACCCTGGGCTACCTGGGAGGCCCTGATCCGCTCGCAGTAGATGCAGCCAGACCAGTGAAAGACACAGGGCTGCAGAAGGGTTACTGCGTCCACTATTCTCATCTCTTTATAGCTCCACAGCTGAAACTCTCTGGACAGGTTGCAACAGTCTTCAATGGAGTTTAGGCTGAGACTCGCTGCTGCTGCTGCTGGGCCAAGGGAGTGAGCGCTTTCTGTGGGGGAGGCTCTAGGGCCACATTTCTGTGGCAGGTGGAAGGCCAAGGGGCCAAGAAAAGCCGCCTAGAGCGCTTTCTGCCAGCCACCAGGTGAGGTTTAGGTGGGGCATTCCAGCATTTCGGAGTGGCAGGAAATGGGAAGCATGGGAAGCACCACACAGTCAGGAAAGCGGGGCATCTCTTGGGAGTCTGAGGCAGCCAGATGAAGTGACCCAGTCCAGAGAGTCTGATCTGTGATACGTAGGCCTGGGTTGTCTGCTCTGGCTGGCAGCGTCTCTCCAAGGTCTTGGGCAGAGGGGGGTCAGTCCAGCTTGGGTACCGGAGAGCTTTCCACCTGGCGACATCAGAGGGGCGATTTTGCAAGCTGGGGGTGTTCTTTGCTACTGTGCAACCCCCTCCGGGTTGCGGCTTTCTGTCACTATCAATAATTAATATATACTGATCAGCATGTATGCTTATTAATAAATACCTGAGTGCTAAAAATGATTACCACAAATTCATTCGTAGTATTACCCAATTAAGAATAAGCATGTCAGCTGTATTCAGAGCAGACCCATTGAAATCAGTGGAATTTAATGATCCACATTCATTGCACTCAGGAGTAGGACCTAAAACCTTCTCTAGATCCAGACCTAAATCTGGCTCTAGCCCATTAGATTTGCTATGCTGTGAGCCACTGGAAGTGCCCTTTGAGCTAGATAAGCACATACAGTTTTTTTACTTTGATTTTGCAAATGTTTCTGTAGCTTGGCATGGAATGTGCTCTGGCCGAATGGATACTTGGGGTTGGGCAGGGAAGGAGGAAGAATTGGCTTCTGGCTGTTTGAAGGCTGCTTGGAGCGTCCCTGTGGCCCAGTGGCCTGGAGTGCCGTTTCATGTCCTTAAAATATTCACGTCCTCTCGTTCGTCCAAGTGCATCTACAGCAGCTTGTAATGAGCTTGGCAAGTAAGCCAAAAATGGTGGAGCAAATAGAGGTAAAGCTGGGATAACTGGAAGCAGCCATAGTAGATCAAGCCAGCGGCAGAAGGGCTTCATTGGCAGATCGGAAAGCCCTCAAATTCAGCAGCTTCACCCTGCAGCAGGAAAGCTAGCACAAGAGGAGCTGCCTGAAGCTCCCGAAGTCCGTAGTGCCACTGGAAAAGACGCTGACCCAAGTAATCCTCTACCATATTCTGATGCTGAGGCAGATTCTGATGCGCAGCTAACCTGTTTCCAGGCTTCCCGTGGGAATCAGCTGCTCTGCCTGGGTGAGCGTGCATCTTCTGAGGAGGTTGAGCTCTCCACCCGTCTGCTCCACTTGCCCTCACCTCCCCGTCCTTTGCTCTGCTGTGCAGCTTCTAGCCTTCCTTTTCAGTGTTCTGAAGGTAGCACACAAGGCCCTTCTGAAAGGCTGGCAGGGGGTGTGGGGGGAGAACCTCCTTCCTTTCTCAAACTGTGCGCCCCCCTCGCTCAACACTGCTGCCAGCATTGCTGGCGCCTGCCAGAAAAGCCAGCGGAGACACGGAGGATGCCGGGTCCAAGCTCACAAGGGCAAAGGGGGCAGCTCCCGCTTGGCATGAAACTGGGTGGGTGCACCTGGTGTGCTGGGCAGAAGCGGCATCAGGGCCCCCCTGGGCCCACAGCTCTGGGTGGTTTATTTTATACTTATTTCAAGAGATGCGCGTGCCTTTCACTGTATTGAAAAAACACTGGCGAAGCAGCTCATGGAGGGAGTTGGAATGCACTGATGTGCTGGAAGAGTCTGAGGCAGGGCAAGAGCTAACTGGGAAACAGCGCTGGCTCCTGGTCCCCTGGAAGAGAGCCCCGCTAGCCCGAGGTGAGCAGGCCAGGCTGCGGGTGATCCCTGTAGGGCGCAGTCTAGCCTGCCTTTCTGTGTGGTGCCCCGTACTCGGGCATCGCTTGTGGGTGCTTCCTGAAAGTGGCGGGTGCCCACACCCACCCGTGCCATTGGGCTCCTCCCTTCCTAGAGCTCCCTCCGCCGCCTGAGTCTTTCTATTCCAGGGGTGAGTGTAGCTCTTCTCCCAGCCCAGGAAGCCGCTTTTTTCCTTTTGCACAATGTTGATGATTTCTGTTGGGCCTCAGTTCGAAAGTGAGGGCTGGAGTCAGTGGCAGAGGTGCTCTTGGGCAGCTGCATGGTTGCGGGTGGAAGCGCCTCTCCGCAGGGAGGTTGAAGCTGAAATGTGCGCGGCTCCTTCATCCCTTGCCCTCCGGTATCACGTGGCCCCTCAAAAGCAGCCCCTCCCTCAAGCAGGGAACACCCAAGGAGTCCATTCCTCTTTGGCGTCTGCAGGGCACACCTCCCATTGCCGGCCGGGCTTGAAAGCAAAAGCAGCAGGTCCAAAATTGCTGGCAAATGTTTGCTTCTACCTCCTGTTGCCACTAATTAAGTTGTAGCAGAGGCCCAACCTTGGAGTCTCTCCAAGATGGATTCTGCTACCCGGCCTTTCAGTGGGCCCATGCCCTACAGAAAGAACTGCTCTTGCAGGCAGGCACCTCGAATTCTTCTTTAAAGCAATGTGAAAGGCCAAGCAGGCCTTCCGCTCTTCTGTCCACACACCCATCTTCAGCACAGCCCGTGAATCATGACCTGCTACTTTCCCAAAATAAAATAATTGACATCATAATGGCTATTGGGCTGGTGCCTTTGAGTCATGAGCACGCTCCGAGTTCCTCCCCAGCTGCCTGCCCCGTGCCGGCCTCTGCTCCAAAGGTGCTTTGATCACGAGGAGGGAAAGGCAGATCCTCTTTGCTCTGCTATCGTCGTCCCTCTGAGAGGTGTCCTGCCTGGGGGGAACCGAGCCGCATCCCTGCAGGAGCACCGAAGCGGTGCGTGCGCTGGACCCCTTGCCTGTTTGGTGCCCCCTGTTACTGAGCTTGTCCTCTAAATTGGAGGTGGGGCTTCCTGAGCACAGACCAGGCCTGTTCCACCCCTCCCGCAACCTCTGTAGCAGAAGGGAATCCTGGCTCATGTATGTGTGTATTTATTTTTGCTTATTTGAAATGTTCTTGCCCAGAAAGCCACCTGGAGCATTCTGGATAGCAATGGTAAACTGCCCTCAGGCCTGCCGCCTGAACCGGATCTGGCAGGCAAGGGGGGCGGAATTACGGGGAGATAAGAAAAAATGTTTTCTTGTGTCGGGGCTGTGGGAATGGCCCGCCCTCTCGGTTGCGAGGGACGCCTTTGCCCTCCGAGCTCCGGCCTGCCCTGTGGCAGAGTCGGAGAGGCGAGTCCAAGTCCCCTTGCCTTTGAGGCCCGGAGGCGGCCTCCCCAGTCTGGTGTCGTTCGGCCTCCATCCGTAATCCCGGGAGGCACGATGCTGACCCACCTTGCAAAGTGCTTTGTTCTTAAAGGATTGCCAGGTGAGAATGAGGGGGTGCAGTCCTGGGGAGGAAGCTGTGGGGGGTTTTAAGGCTCTCCGGAGCAGAAAGCTGCTTCTGCGTAGACACCGTGTCAGGTGTGGGCTGGTACCAAACCTCTTTCCTCTTATGTGCCGGCAAACCACGGGAAGGGCGTTCTCACAGGCACGCCATCTTGCTGTATCCCAAGCAGTGCGGCTGCGCATTCAGCCCCTCATTCAGTGTAAAGCTTTGGCTTATAGACGGCTTGTGAGCGTCGTAAGCAAATGAGTCAATGTGTAGAATGGAATTGAGCGGAAGGCGCAGGGGCACTGCTGCTGTTACCTCTGACCCGAGGTCGGCGATAACGGTGGAGGTTCCTGCAAGAGAGCACTGCCCAGCCGCCGGACAGAGCGCCCAGCTCCGTGGATCAGATTGGGAGGCTGGAGTTGGGCCTGCAGGAGCCATGGCTCTGCGCGCTGGGTGCAGCAAGCCTCTGGAAAGATGAGTCCCTCCCTCATCATTTGCACAAGTCTGTTTCCAGCTGTAACTTTCTGTTCTGTTTCCTTTTCCTGCAGCTGCCATCAACTTGGCAAAACTGAAGCTCTTCAGACACTACTATGTCATGGTAAGAAGCTTGCACAAGCGGCTGCAAGCCGGGCCTCGAATGGTGGTGATAGGCTTTGGCATTCTTCAGCCGCCCCGGCCTGCTCCTGCACGCCCGTAGCTGGAAGGTCGCAGCCTGGAGGAGAACCGGCGGCACCTCCAGCTAGAAATCTCCCACACAGCATTCTAAGCAGCAGGGGACCGGTGAAATCTGGGAGGCTCCAGTTCTGCGCACACATCCTCTGCAAGGAATTCTAGCCTTTAAAAAGCAAGGCATCCCACTCCTTTAGACACAGTTATGCAGCGTGGCCCTTTCCGTTATCTCCTGCGTGGGAACCCACTGTGGTTCTAAGCGCATTCTACTCGAGCGCAGGCATTGCCTTTCAGTTGCTGTCCAGCCGCACGGCGGTCCCATCCAAACACTGCCTTTCACTTACTTTGCCATTCCACCCAGGAGCCAGCCAAATGTTCTGGGTGATTTGCAAGACGTAAAAGCCATTGAAAATAAACTCTGCATAGGATAAAACTCAGTAAGATACAAATGTGTGAACAGACAACAGTCCTGTCTATGTGAAACAATCAGTATGAACAGCCCCAATGCACTCCAGCACTGAGGAAGTTTCTTCCTTACAGTGGGTTTACTCTTTCCTCTTCTTCGGCTTCACCCAGGATACGCAAAGGGTTTCACTTCCCTTTTTGACTGTTGACTGTGGGTAGCATTCTGTGCCGGCCTTCCTCCTCATCGCCTATATTTTCTAACCCCGGTGCTGTAAGAAGTTCCAGAAAGCCTTCAAAACACACACCTGGCCATGCCCATCTTCTTGGTTCCGCTGCTACCAGGGCAGAGAGTCCTGCCCGTCGTGACTTGTCTCGATCCGTCCACAAGACCTGCCTCCCAGGTCCCCCTTTCCCCCTTTCCCCCTCTACTGTCTGCTCGTCCTTGCAGCCTTGGAGATGGTTGGGGAGGGTTTGTGCCCCTTCCGGTGCCCCTTTCTCCAGGAAAGGGGAGACGGTCCCAAAGGCCCTCCTCTTCCCGCAGGATGCAGTGCCACCCACGTTTGCGTTCCTCCAGACAGAGGCGAGGCGCACCACGCTCCCTCTGTGCAGGAAGGGCCCGGCTGGTGCTTGCAGGGGCCCAGGGGGCCCGGGAAGGCTGGCAGCCAGGCGCACGGTCCTGCGAGCCCTTGCTGAGTTAGCTGCTCCTGTCACCGGGCACGAGTGGGCAGGGAGGGGGCTTGGCAAAGGCTTGCAGAAGCCTGCCCCCCCCCGGGGAAAGCCCCCGCGTTCCTTCCGTTCTCCCTTTGCATGCCTTGCACTCTCAGCAGGAGTCAGAGGAACGGGGGGCTTCTTCCCACCCCCTCCCCAAACCTGCAGGTCCCACCTCTCCATGGGCACCTCTTTGAGAGCACAGCCACCCTTTGCCTGCCGTGCAGGGTCCCACCTTGGCCTCTGCCGGCTGGGAAGCCCCCTGGGTGCCCACCGGGCCCTTCGCGGTTCCTGCCGGAAGGGGGGGTGAAAGCCGCCAAGCCCACGCAGGGAGCCTCCCTTTCGGCTAGCCGGGTGAGGGGCTGCCGCTCCCCCTCTCCCTCCCGGACAGGATCCAGCGCTCGGAGCTTGGCAGTAAATGCTGGCTCGGAATCTCAGGTGAAGATGAGTCTCGAGCTCCTCGGCGGACGGGGGCGCTCGGTGGAGGGCGTGATCTTGCTTGTGGGCTCGGCCGGCTCCCGGAGGAGAACCGCCGTGCTCGTGGTCGCTGACACGTGTCCCCCTCCTCTGCCTTAGATCGTGTGCTACATCTACTTCACTCGGATCATTGCCATCCTCATCAAGATCGCCGTCCCGTTCCAGTGGAAGTGGCTCTACCAGGTACCCCCTGCCCCCCCCCTTTTCAGGCCGCGGCTGAATGTAGAGGCAGAAATCCTTTGAGCTGCCTGCCTCCCCCCCGGACTGGCTTTCGTGGGCGCAGCGATTCTGAGCTCTCCCTGCCGCCTGGCTTGCCGCATGCTTGTTTCTTGCCATTGAAAGAGGTCCCTGTTGAACCGGCGCTGTTTTCTTCAGCTGGGCTGCTGGATTATATACCCACAGACTGAAAAGTAATTGCTTTATTGATCTCAGAATGTGCAGGAGATGCCCTTCAGGAGGCAGGGATTGCTGTGACTTGCCTTTTTATTTTTTGGCTGTAAATTGGGAAAAAAGTGCACACACACCAGCAAAACAGCCCCGATGCCTGCCATAAATAAGGGGGTATAGTGCAAACTGGTAGAAATGTAGCATTAAAATGTTACAGTTTGGTCTTGTATTTTGTAGCACTCAGTAATGAGAGAGTATTGTGAAATATGTATTAGAGGGTGTGATACAGATCTATACGGGTCCATCAGCTTGTACAAAGCAATGGGGAGAACTGGGCATGGCTGGGTTCAAGAAGAGGAGGGGAGACAGGGTAGGATCGGAAGGGAAGGATCTTTTCTTGACCATCCCAGAGTGCAGGGCGTGGAATAATGGGCTCGGCAGTTGCAGGCAGCCTCGAAATGCATAAATAAATAAAGTTGCAGGAAGCCGTTTTCTGGCTGGATATCAGGAAGAGCTTCCAGGCTGTTTGGGCAGTATGGGAAAAAAAGCGGGGGCCGGGGGGGGGGGGGGGGGCTCCCCCACACTGGAGGCCTTCAGGATGCAGCTGGACAGCCCTGCGAGGGACGGTTTGACTGGGGGCACTGCACTGGGCAGGGGGCAGTCCCGACAGTGCACTGGCCCCTCCCGCCTGTGGCTCTCTGGCACACTCGCCTTCCTGCCGGCCGGGCTAGCCGAAGGGAGGGTGCCGGGGCTACCCTGGTGGCAAAGAGCGTGGCGGTCCCTCCGCCGCCGCCGCAGCCGTTTCTCAGGTCCTCCTTTTCTGTTGCAGTTGCTGGATGAGATGGCCACCTTCGTCTTCTTCGTCCTAACTGGGTACAAGTTCCGGCCGGCCTCGGACAACCCCTACCTGCAGCTCTCGCAAGACGACGACGACGACAGCGTGGACATGGAGGCTGTGTAAGGGACCCTTTTTGCCTCGGGGCCTTCAGGGCAGCAGGGGGGGCGTCCAGAGCCAGCAAGGGCTTCTGACCGAACATGCATGGCAGGGCAGGTTAGATGGACCTGGGGGCACGTGCCCCATGCGGTGGGCAAGGGGCTCATGTTTAACTGAAAAAAATAGCACGCCAGGGTAGCCGGTTCCTTCCACTTCTTGAACCCGCTGCCGTTCAGCTGCTCAGTGAGCAGCAAGAGAAACTAGGGCAAGCAGGCGGAGGGCGGGGCAGAGGGGCAGCAAGGCTCGCGCGTGCCACGGGGAGCGGCCTCCTTTCCTGCATGGCAGCAAGGAAATAGGGGCACAGGAAGCAAATGAGTGCAGTGTCTAATGAGCGAATGGTAGAAAGGCTTTGATCATGCCTCTTGGTGCTGACCTGGATTTTATTTCTCTTCCTGTAACAATTGGAGAGGCGGCGGCAGCTTTGCTAGCTTTCTGGGAGTGGGAGCGAGACGCCTGCGCACTGCACGAGTGGCGGACTGTCGGCTGGAGGCTCGGCCACAGGCTGATGCGAAGGAGGGCCAAGGGGCTGCTGGTGCGCACCGCCATCGCTGGCTTCCCCTGAGCATGTTCCCTCGCATCTCCCCAAGGGGCGTTTCGCAATGCGGTGGGACGCTCTTTTGTACGGCTGCTGAACTTCACCCGCCGCTCTGCTCTGCCCTGCCCTGCCCTGCCCCTTCCGCAGCTCTGGCGTGCCCCAGCCAGGGCAGGAACCTGAAGTCCAGTACAGCTGGAGGGCGCAGTACTGGTTGTCCCTTCAAGCCCAGGGTCTGAAAGTCCCTGGCTGCGTAGCGTCTGTCCCCGCCAGAGCGCTTGGCCCAGCCCGGCCCCATCGCTTGTACAGGGTGTTGTCGGCCGCATTAGACTCTGGTGTCCAGCACAGAGCACACCCCTGGGAAAGCTCTGCCTTTTAACTTAAAAAAGCACATGGCTTGTCTCAGCGGGGTTAATCAGCTTCCAGTATCCGTGGCGCACGCTTCCGTTTGGAACCAGCGGCAAAAGCGCCGAGCAGCTGAGAAGGAACCCTCGGAGCAGTGGTGGAGCCGCAGCACAGGCCTGGCCAGGACCTGGGATGGCTCCCAGCGCTGAGCTGGGGGGGTTGGGGGGGTCCTCAGGTTGGGCCCGTGGGCTCCAGTGCCATGCGGAAAGCTCCTAGGGGGCCCGCCTGCCCTTTGCTTCCTCAAAGTTCCAGAACTGCCTTTTAACTGGGAGGCCGGCCTGCTGCAAACAGAGGAATCTGATGGGAGAGCAAAACCCCGATGGATGTCTGTGGTTCATCCTCACCTCCAGGTGCGGATTTGCTGGTCCCACACTGGCTGGGTGTTGCGCAGGTTGATCTGGGTCACAGACTTCCATTGCCCAGATGGGGGTGCCGTTCATGCATTTTTTTTTAACCCACGGAGAAAATCTCTGCAGAGCGTGGTCCTCGTGTGATCTGAGCCAATGGAAAGTGGCCATTGCTGAGAAACGAGCAATTCTAGCTCAGATTACTCTAGAACTATATTGCTTCTGGCTTCTGGTTTGCATCAAGAACATGATTTGCACAAACTGAATAACGTTGTGTCATTTGCAAACCTTAAGTTTTTTTTAAATGTGCAAACTCCAGCCAGTCTTACAGAGAGAAGTCCATGGAGAAAACCAAACTTGGCCTGCTTCTGATCCTCAGGTCAGCAGTGGGCCTCCTAGTGCCAGGGTTCCCTACCACCAGGCATGATGAAATTGTCAAGCATTTGACATATAAATATTAGAATCACATTTGAATTATTAGTATTGAGATCACATTTAAAATGCAACTTTAAAAAGAATGTCAGTACCAGTAAGACAGAGCAATAACATGGAGGAACGTGATTGATTTGAAGAGTTTTGCCACTGTCTGAAAACAGCCAGGTGCCAGAGTTGTTCCTGTTCCTTCTGTCCCCTCCTGGCAAGCAGTGACTTTTCTTAAACTTTCCCCAGAGGCCAAGCAGGCCTTGGGATATCCGCTTTCTCTCGTGCGGAGATGCTGGCCTCAGGCTCACCTCTTCCTCCTCCGCATAGAAGGCTCCCCCTCCTTGTGTTTCTGCACTCTGCCGCAAATTGCCATCTCATCATTCCTTAATTGCCAGCAAAGCATCCCATAATGAGCAAGCTCTGTCGGCCTTTGGCAAGCCCCACACCGAGCCGGCATTTCTCCTCCACTCCTCTGCTGCTTGCTGCATCTCTACCGCGTAGGAAAAGCAGGCGTGTCCCCCCGACCTGCTTTCTGCAGATGGGGGGGGGGGCGAGGGGAATAGTGGGAGTGGCCCAGTTAATCCTTTAGGGGGAGGGGAAAGCTATTTTTGGGGGGGGGGGGGGGGGGGGGGTTGCATCCTGGCAGCAGGTGGGGCTAACAGTGGCAGCAGGTAAGACAGGCCGCCCCTGCTCTTGCCTTCTCTGTATCTGCGCAGGGGGCCTGTGGTGAGCGCAGCGGGCGGATCAGCCATGCCAGAAATCCAAACTAACAGTTGTGCGCGCTCAAATGGGGGGCAAGCACCTCGTCCCCAGCCCCGAATCCCTCTTCCTGGGCCCTCAGAGCACTTTCTCCAGGTGTCCGTTGGTGCCAAAAGATGCTTCTCCCCACAGGGGTTGCTTTTCGTGGCTCTGAGCCTGGGGAGAGAAGAGTTGAAGCTCCCTTTCCCGCGTGCTTTGAGATCTCCCCCTTGGCACACGCACACAGCGCACAGCGGGGAGGGTGGGGTGGAGGGCTCGCTGTTACTTTGCCGCTGGGTTCCTATCCTGCCTTTCCTGCTTCGGGGAGGAAACACAAAGCAGCTGGCCTGGAGCTGGCTCACCCACACAACAACCCTGCAAGGCAGGCCGAGCTGAGAGTCTGTATCTGGCCCCGAGTTTCCCGTCGGTTCATCTGGGCCCAGAGTGCGTCCCAGCTGCAGTATCCCTTGTTGTCTGTGTCCACTGGGATGCAGGGTGGGAAAGGGCAGGAAGCCCCCTGAACCGTTTTCTGGGAAGGCTCATGTGGGCCCAGCCAACGAGCCAGGGTGGACTTCTGGGCCCTCGCGTTGCTTGCGCCCCCTGCTAGGTCAGCTTGGATGCCGCAGGCCTCCCTCCTGATCTGTGTCCACCCTGCCCTTCCCTCCAGGATGACCACGTCCGGCGTCATGGAGGGTGTGAAGAAGGTGAAGAAAGTGGTGAACGGCTCAGTGGAGTCCCGAAGCGAGAGAGAGAACACCGCATGATGGACTGATTCCTTTTCCCTCTGCTCTTCCCCCCTCCACCCAACCCCTTAAGACAAAGCAGCACTTTTCAGAGAAACTCTAATTTATTGACCTTTTACTTCCCAAACGGAAAGGGAGCGAGCTGAGCTTCTGGATAGAGAAACTGCAGAGTTCTGGGGATGGGAGGGGGCGAAAGCAGAGACAAAGTACTGCAAAGACGCAAAAGTAAGAAAGGTCAAAACAGGTTCCGTGGTCTTAAGGAGCTCGGGCTCTTCCGGCGCCTCCGAGGAAACTTTTCTGCATAAGGTGGCCGCCCCCCCTGTGTGTTTAATTCTCTCCCCCCCCTTCTGGGAACTTGACTCACTCCTGGAGAGGCTGTTTCCACATGCGGAAAAACCAACCAGAGTTGTGTATGTAAAATTGTACACACACACACACACTCCTTACATGCAAAGCCCGTGGTGCCATGCTGCACGCGAAAGGTCTGGGGAGCTGTTGGGTGGGGGTAACTCCTGGTGGTCTGCTTGTATGTTTTCTGTTGACCTGCGCACCTCCTCTTGGCTCTGTCCTTCCGATGGAGGCCAGAGAGCGAGATGCTCTTCGGGGACCAAATGTAGCTCTTCCCTTGCTCTTGCCCCGCCATCCTCACTCGCATGGGCCCAAAACATGGTCCCGTTAACTCTATGCATTTACCTGAAGGGTTCTGGATGTTTATATAACGAAGTGGGGATCACTGTTGAATTTCTCTTCCGTGCAGCTCTGAGCCCCCCTCTCTCCCCCCCCCCCCGGCTTGGCTAAGCCCCTGCTAAAAGAGAAGAGAAATACCCCCATTAAATCAAACCCATTGCCTGGGGCCAGGATTTCTGAGCCAGCGAGAAGTAAAGCGCTTCTGTTCCCAGGGCTTGGGGCATGTGGGGACCCACAGAGGGTGCCGATTAGGTCTGCGGGAGAGAGGTTTTGCCCCAGTGTTGGAAATCCTGCTGTGTTCTCCGGAACAGTGGTTTGCTTTTGGATCGGGGCCCCTGCTGTTGGGCTCCATATATGAAATCAGCAGGTCCCCCAAGTGCTCGCTCGCTCGCTCTCCCTGCACCTCTTTCAAGAAGTTGCCTGGACAAGCTCCGTCCTTGCTCCACAAACCAGCCATTCAACCGGCTGCACTTGTGAAAAGCATCGCAACTTTTGTATTCGCAACGTGGGGATTAAATGCCTTGTTTCCCCCCTCCCCCAGCATCCAACTCAAGAGATGGCTGCTTGGGATGACATGTTGGACGGCCCGGCCCGGCCCGGAGAGGCCTTCTGCTCCGGCCCTGGGACCGCCGAGCCGGCTGCGTGTGTGACCCGTTCAGAGTAAAGCTGTGGGAAGGGCTGTGAGGGAAGCTTTTCAGGGGAGCTTCTGGGGAAGAGAGATGAGCGAGCGAGCGAGCGAGAGTGGCGTATCGGCCCCCAGGGACACGCTGGTGCGGTGGGGGGCGTGTGGCATGGTTTGGTCGTGGACTTGTTTCTCTTAGATTTCCCCGTCTACAGACAGTAGCAGTCTTGGCCTGTTGCTTCCCAGGAGGAGAAAGGCTTGCTGTATAGATGCATTTAGGGCCGGGATGGGCGATTTCTGCCGTGAAACTGCAGGGCACTGCACCCCTTTTTGCCCTGCCCTGCTGGCCCTTGCTTCCCGGCAAGGCAAGGCAAGGGAAAATCGGCCCTCGTTTTTCTGCCCCCCCCCGGCGCCAAATTTTGGTGGCAAATTTGGCAGTGTTGGCGGACTGCAAAGACGTCCACGGAGGCCTGTGTGGGGCCTGCTCATGGCTTACCTGGATGGGTGGGTGGATTTGGCAGGCATGTGACCCCTGAAGGGCGGAGGAGAGTGGTGGGAGATCCTGCGGTTCCCACTGGAAGGGGGGGGGGTTTGAGAGCCCCCGGGGCGACTGCTCCTGCAGCTCCTTGTAAGGCAGCACTCCGTGGCTCTCTGTGCTGTTGGTTGATGGGAAGACATTACAGTGGGGTAGAAGGAACGCGCAGGGCAGGGCCCATCTCCCCCGGGACCTTTTTGTCTCCCAGGCCTCACTCCGGGCCACTGCTGCTTGCAGTCTCCTGCAGGAGCCCCCCCCCCCCACTGAGTGGGTCTCGGGCTCCTGCGATCCTGGGATTTCAGCTACGTCAGGCACATTCTGTGGCCTCCAGTGCACTTTCTCTGGACGGTATCCTAAGGCGCCGCATGAATGCATGTATGGGTAGAGCTCCACGCTCCGGGATGCTGGCTGGCTGGCTGGTTGGAGGGAGGTCCCGTTCCAGTCCCAAGGCAGTGCCCCCCGAGTGCTGGCAGAGCAGCCCTCCTCAGTACGGGGCCCTCCAGGTGTTCGAGTGGCGTGTCAGCAGTGCCCTAACCTGAGGCAGCTTCTGGCCCGGCCCGCTGCAGCGTTTCATCCAGAGAACGTGCGAGGTTCTTAAAACCGCTCCCACGATGCCCGAAGGGACTCCCGGGTGCTCTGGTCCTGCCACCTGAAGTTGCACGAAGCCGCTTGTTGGAGGCGTGCGGGTGTTTGTGGCCAAGGGCTGTGCGAGGCACGGACTGGCCGTGGATCTGTTTTGCTGACCCCTGCAGTGGACCTTCGGGGAAGGCGTCCCTCTGTTTATTTCCCTCTCCCTCTCTGAAAGTTGTGCATGCTTGATTTCGCGCCTCTTCGGTTTCCCCGGCCTTGTGGCACATTCCAGGAGCGTGTCTGCCAAAAAATTTGGTGCACTGCAGCATTTTTAGTGTACCTGTGTGAGCGAGCCTTCTCCACACTGCTTCCCCCAGTGAGGAGGTGGCGTGAAACCAGGCAGCACATGCCCTGCGGAAGGCGCCTCCCAGGGCAGAGAAGCCGGGGTTGCCGTTGCCCCCTCACGCCCCATCTTTCCTTTCTCACAGTGCTTTCGTTTGTTCTGCCTGCTGCAAGCAGAAATGTGACGCTCTCCGTCGGAGCAGTCCCCCCGAAATTCACAGCCAGTCAGAATCTCCCAGTTTTCATCAGACCATACCAGATCCTCGCGAGTCCGTGGGTGTCTTATGGGTAGTTTGGGGGAATTCCTGTAGTCCAAGCATCATGGCTTGCGTTTCCTTCTGACTCACGGCAACTTCCGAAGGGGCTCGCATTTGCGTCCCACTCATAACTGGGCACGGTGACTTCTCCTGTGCCTTGTCATCTTTCTTGGAGTGGGAGAAAAGTAGCAGGCCCCACACAAGCTCTCCAGTGCAGATGGTGAGATCTTCTGTGTTGCTTGTGGCCCCCATAGCTCCCTCTTGTGGCCCCCACTGGTTCCGTTCAGATTTTTAAAAAGAAGCAACATCTGCCTTGTACTGGCTAGGGAGCATCCCTCTGGCCAACTCAGATTTGCTTGGTCACTAAATTTGGCCCTTTGGGCCCTCCATGGGGCCAGAAAGGGTAAATTTCGGGGATAGGGTTGGAAATGAGGGCAGTGCGAGTGTTGGAGCAGCCTGTAACGTGTGGGGCAGATGGCAATCACATTCCAGGACTTCAGCCTCGCTTGGGGGGACGCCCGGTGGAATTGGTGGAATGGGGGAGGGCAGGACTGGTCCCTGGACTTCCAGGCATTCCCCACCCTGGGTGCACCCTTCATTTTGGCAGTCCGGTTTTGACTGGGATTTTAACGGCAAAAACCATCCGGCCTGCAGCTAGCAGAAGCAGGAACTCCAGCATGCGGCTCACAAAGCACTGTGTGGTCTGGCCCTGGGGCTTTTTCAGAGTGGCGTGTGCCTCAGTCCTGCCACTTTGGAAGCAATAAGGCAGGGTGCCTTGGAGGATCGGGAAGGAGGCAGGTGCACAGGAAAGCTTTGTCCTCCGGAAGATGGAAGCCCAGCCCTCTTTGCGCCCACAGTGGACTCGTTTGGAGAAGTGAATGGAGTGCTACAGGACTTTTCCTTGGAACGACACCCCCTTTGGCTCCTCAAGAGGAGGGACTTCCCTGCTTGAGAAGCATCCCTTTCAAATTTTGCCCTCGACGCGCCATCCCAAGCCCTGTGGAATCCACCGTGCCGCAGCAGCTCGACCCTGCTTGACTGCTCTGGGGGCACCGCTCCTTTCCCGCGAGCAGTCCGCGCTCGCCATTTCTCCGTGCAACAGGGGGGTGCGCAGTGTCCGCGTGGGGCCAGGGCAGTCCTCATCTTTACATCTGCAGAGGTTTGTAGCTGGAGGACCAGTTGAGTAGCTAGCAAAAACGACTTGGTTGATCTGGGAGAAAAGTGTGTTGTTTTTTCTCGAACATTTAAAAAATCAATATGCCCCCAAAAAAGGCTTCTAGGTAAAAATCCAGGCATCACCGTAAACCTAAGATGTTTGACCTTTCTTTTTTTAAGAAAGGGTGTGTGTGTGTGTGTGTGTGTGTGTGTGTGTGTGTGTGTGTGTTTCCCCTGCCCCGACCTTCAAACATTTCTGTTCCTTGTTCAGCATTTGGGATGCAAAAAGAATCTGTGTTGTAAGGTGTGTGCAAGCATTTGGTTTTTTTTTTTAATTTCCCTTTTTGAAAAAGATAAAAAGGACAGTATTTATGTAAACAGGGCAGGGGCATTCCAGTCGGGGCTTTTCTCTATGTAATGTGGTTTTCCTGCTGTGGAACAAAATAAAAGACCAGGTGACTAGGAATCTGGCACTCCTGCTGTCTGAATTGGGTCCTCTTGAGCTGTGCTGAGCGTTGGAAGAGGAGCACGGGCGCTCGTCCTGCCTAGGCTGCAGCCCAGAGTGCGGGCCCGGAGGCGGTCTGGCCAGCCCGAGGCGTCCCTCTGGCCAGGGCAGTGCCAGGTGCAGCACAGAGCCAGATCTCGGGCCAGGCAGTGCGAGGCCTCGCGGTTGCCGCACACGCTCTGAACTTCCCTTGTGTCTCTTCTGGAACCTGCCTCCCAAGGCAGGGCTAATTATAAAAAGGAAGGTAGGGGTGGAAAGAGGAGAGTGTTTGGCTCCTGGGCGAGATTAAAGCGGGGGCCAGCAGGAGACGAGGCACGCACAGGTGGGCCAGAAGCCTGCTCGATGCCCCAGGCACCCGCGGGGCCACGGGGTCTTTGTTTCTGCAGGTGGTGGGAGGGGGCCACCCGTGATCCAGGGCTCCAACCCTCATGGGCCACCCCAAGATCGCTCCCGCTGCTGGCCGTGCCCCCTTCCTGCCTAGCTGCCTGGCCATTCGGTGGGCTGCCGTTTTCCCCACTCACGCCAACGGGTGGAGCTGCCGCCGCAAAGGCAGAGGTCCTGGCAGGAGCTCATGGGGCAGCCCCTCCACCAAGCCTCCCCAGAGTGCAGCTCTGCCCCGGGGTAGACCGCCTTGGATGGGATGGGCCGGGCCGGGCCCTGGCCGACCTCACAGGGGTCCTCTCTCATGTGCAGTCCCCCTTGTGTCCTCCCCATCCCATGGGGCTCCTGGTTCACATGTGCAGCTGGCAGAGCGCACTGCGCTGGACTGACCACCTGTCCTGGCCGCGTTTTCACAGCTCCCTTTTTCAGAAGCTCCCAGCAAAGAGAAGAGGGCACAGTGCACAACCTCTTCTGGCCCAAGGGCCATGTTCCATTTCCAGGCCATTCTCAGGCCCTGCGTGCCGCATATTTCGGCTCAAAGGTCTTTCTCCCAGGGAGGGGGGGACAGCAGAGGCTTTTCAGCCTTTTGGGAGCCACGGCGAAGGCTGGGAAGCACCCAGTAATGGGGCTAGCCGGTGCAGTCTGATCTGGAGTGTGGGCAGGATGAGGCCCTTGGGCTGGCCGAATTTCACCCCGGGCCTGACGCGCTCTGCCTCCGCCCTGAGGAGCTTCTGCACCGGTGGAGGTCTTGGCCATGTACCAGAGATGCCTCCGACACCCTCCCTGCACTCGCCCTCATTGCAACGGGCATGCTCCTTCCCGCCTCTCCGGAAGCTTTGGGAGGGGCTGGTCCCGGCTCAAAGGACGCTTCTCAGCAGCTGCCCAGAGAAGCCTCCCTCGCATTCGCCGCCCACTGCCCAGCCCGGCCTTCCATCTCCTTCCGAGGGCTTCTGCACCCGGGGGTTCTGCAAGCTTGGTTACAGGATGCTACATGCGTGTCGAGGGTGCGAGGGTTTGGCTTTTTGCCTGTCTCCCAACAAAAAAATGCTTTGCCCCAGTCTTGGGAATCCAGGAAAAGCTCGGCTGCAATCCTGAGCAGGTTTAGGCAGAAGAAGGCCAGCCGTGCCCAGCCCAGCTGCCTGGGGCTCTCCCAGAGTTGCAGGACTTCTCTGTCGAAACAAGCAAGGGGAGCGTCCCAAGCAAACCTCTGCGATGCGTGGCTGATGCCTCCGCACTTTCACCAGCCAGGAAGATGGCGAGGGAGGTTTCCAGGCAGGGAGGGGGTCGTCTCCTCATGCTTGGCGATAGCAGGACAGATTTTGCCACAAGACAAGTTGCAGATTTGCGCAGCTGCAGAAGCTGCTTCCAGCGAGCTCCCCGGGCAGTCGGCGTCCTCACGCCAGCTCCACAGGCACTGCCCGTCCAAAGCCGCGCAGGGAGATGCCTGACCTCATGTTGCAGAACTGTTCTGTGACCTCCATTGCAGCGCTTGCGGTCCAGTGGGGTTGACGGACCGGGCCCAAAGCCTCCAGTTCTGTGCTCTTGGTGGGCAAGGCAGGGAAGACCGCAGGGACCGAGGCAGGGCCCCGCCTCCTTTTGGAATTCTGCGGGTGCTCTCACAAAATGGCTGCCCCCAGGGCACAAATGGCCCATTCTCAACATGGCTTCCATAGTGGCCACGGCCAGTCACAGATCAGTTATTTCCTGGAAGAGCAAAGTGGGGAGATGGAAGTGACTGGAATTTGTCCAAGGTTGCAGAGAGGAACCTGAGCTTTGAACCCTGAGTTCCGGGCTGCGTATCTCCGGAGCATAGCGCTGTGCTTTGCAGTTCTGCAAGGCTGCTTATGACATGCTTCCTTGCTCCTTTTGAACTCCCTGCTACAAGGGCTTTCTGGTTTTCAGCCTCTCTCTCCCCGCCCCGCTGCAGCCCAGAGGTGACAGCTTTTGCATAAGCCTTCCCTCTCCAGCTGCTTCCAAGATGGTGAGCAGAAGATATTTGGATACAGTCTGTAAACAGCTGTGTAATGAATGGTCGGGGGCTGCGGAAGCCCAGCGCAAGCCTTTGAGGGGCTCAGATGTCCTCCCGTGGCTTTGGAGCATGCTGTTTTTGCTTGGTTCGGGGCCAGGGACACTCAGCACAGCTCCTGATTAGGTTACAACTATCATGCAGAAGGGGGGGAGTGTTGTGGTAAAAGGAGATGCTCAGAAATTTGAGAATCAAGCCTTCATTCAGAAGCAGTTAATACACCAGCATGGCGCACTATTCATCATATTATTTTGTTAGGGTTCATAGATGCAGGTGAGTCAAGATGATCCCGGGTCAAATTTCACATCAGTCACAAACAACGTCCCAGTGGCCTTTGGCAAGATACCATTGAATCTGCCTCCATCCTCCACCTCCACTGGCAGGGCACTTAAACTAGCACCCTACTACCTTGCAGGGCTGTTGTGTAAGGCAGCCTTGCAAAGATGTTTGCAAGCTTGAGGCGTGGAGTCGCTTTGCGAGGAGGGTTGGCAAGCTGCATCTCTAGGCAGAGGAAGGGCGGAGTGCTCCCACCTGCCGGCCCGCTCACTCGCTCAGCCACGCACAATTCTTGGTTGCCTTCGGCTACCAGGAGGGCACTCGGAGACAAGCATGAAATGATGGCCATTTTCATACCAACTTGGCCTTCTAGCAAGAGCAGCTAACATCCAATCTGACAGCTTCATTTTCTCTCACTTCCAGTTTTTAAAATCTTACGTTCTTCTTTATTGCAAGTCCGGCGAACTTGAAAACGGGTAAATTCTGGAACAAAATGCTCAGCCATCCCTCGCCTGGGAGGACTGGGGAGCGGCACCCTTGTGCTTGGGTGTCTCTGCTGCGTGCTGGCCAGGGCAAGCTGCCGGAGGACAAGCGGGTCGCAATGGGGCAGAGGAGGCGCAAGTCCCAGGCACGCTGGCAGGTGTCCTCTGCAGCCAGGCCAGAGCAGAGCACCTCCCCTGCCCCACAGCACCCCCTCCAAGGCAGCACAAGGATGCCTGGGGCGGCTTCGAGGCTTTGTATCTGTTCCGGGTTCCAGTGTGAAGTTTGGAGGAGCTCTCCCTGGTGCTGAACTGCTTCCCACACTAAGCCCGGTGCCAGGGAGAGCTCCCTCAAGGCTTGGCGTAAGAGCTGGGGTGGATTCACAGGCCCCTGGCACCGGATCCAGCAGCTCCCTCTGGGGCCACGCAAGCCTGGGCCCCGGTCCCTTCCCTGACCCCTCTGGCCCCAGGAAAACTCCTCTTTTATGGGGCCTGCCAGGGCAAGAGGCTGGCAAAGACTCAGGATGCAGCAGAAACGGAGGAGACCCCCGGCAAGCCCTTTGAAAGAGGCGCCTGCCGGATTCTGGGCCTTGCCCACGGCCTGGCTGGGCTGGCCCCACAGCAGAACCCTGGAGGAGCCCTGGGGTCCCTGCCTGTCTGCAGATGCTGTTCTCTTGCGCAAGAGTAGTGCCAGCCTGGCTAGCACAGAAGTGGCACTTCGGGAATTGCAGGATGGTGGATGATGGTGTGTTTTTTTCCACTCCGGCCTCCCTGTCACTTTACCTCCTAATGACTGGGCTGAAATAAATCCAGCAGTGCAGGAGAGAAAAACAGCCCGTTTTCCGGTGACTTTCACTCTCTGGCCACATGATCTTGGAGGCAGGGTAGGTTTTAAAATAGAATCGAATCCCGCTAGCATCTTGTTCTCTCCGTCTCAGCCGCTGATGTGAGGGTTGCGGGGAGGTCACGGATGAGCTCTTGCATAGCAAATTCTTTCCAAAAAACCAGCCCAAACGAAGTTCCTGCTTTTGCACCCAAGAAGCCGGCAGTGTGCGATCTGCTCGCGTGGGGCTAACGAACCTAAATGATTCTGTGCTTACTAAATATGGAGGGGGGTAAATGACAAAGAAGCCAAACCTGCTTCTGTCTCTTCTGTTTTCTCAGCTGCTTCCACCCTTTTAGGTAAATTTTGTTCTGAGACATTTTCCACTCGAACTGGCCCAGTGTTCACATGCAAGGCCATAGCTCCAGAGCTCAGTTTTCAGCAAAAAGCCACCCCTTCGCAAGCCTGGGATGGTGTTCGAGAAGGCATTTGCCGGAAAACAAGCACGTTAAAAGGAGCACTCAGCATGTACATATTCTCATTTTCACGCTTCACTGTGTAGGGCCAAATGTTCACCAAAATGCAGGAGGAAAAGGAGGGGGGTGGCCAAGGAGCGGCTTGGGGAACCTCGGCAAATTTGAGCATCATAGATTTTTCCCATCTCTCTCACAGTCCTGCATGCTTTGAAGAGCTCTTTGCAGCTCTTGCTTTTCCACTCTTAATGGGTTTTTTCTTTCTAGAAAAAAAGATGAAAGAAGGAGTAAGAAGCTTTACAAATGGAAGATGGGAATGTTTGGGTTCCCTGTGACACCCCATGCTTGAGACAGAGCAATGGCAGTGCGGAAGTGCCCTCAAGCCTGCGTTTTGCGTGTGCGTGTGAGGGTGCGAACGTCCAGCAGATGTGGTGGCATTAGGCTGGTTCCACTCGTTGGGCCAGAGCCTGGGGGTCATGTTTTGCACCTGCTGAACCTCCCAG